AATCGACACACTTGAGGTAACTCAGTCTAGCATGTATACTCCAAATCATACTTCTGACCAATAAAAGTCTTCATGCTTTCTTTAGATAATCTACTGTTCAGGATAACAATTCAGCTCGTTGCGTGAAGCTTTAAAGCATGGCTTTCAAGATTCACCGGTGCTATGCTTTTCGGCTCATGATGGCCACCTATCTTCTTGGGAAATTATTGACCACATTGTCAACACCTATTCCAATGGAGATCATGATGGAGCACTCAGCCTATGAGCTTGGGAGTGCATCAAAGCCAATTTCCGAAAATACCGCCCTCAGAGGAGGGATAGGATCTGATTTGTCGCACCAGGCTTCAGAGACCAGCTTTGTCAACAAGAAGTCTTTCGGTAGTGATAACAGCTTTCCTCGCTCGGGTTATCACGATACATTTATAGAACAAGAGCATGCCGCTTCTGGGGAATGGAAACCTACGACTAAACAAAAGAAAGATGGCATTATCGAACGGTTGAGAAAATTTAAGACTGCCCGCTTCCGTCGTGGTCGTGCTCTTGCAAAGGAACTGTTTCCAAAAAAATCTCCAAAGAAAATCTCGCCTATCGATTCTGCACCCAAGAGATTTTTCAAGACCCTTTTCAAACCTTTCAACCTCCTTTACAAAGGTATCAAGAAGATAATCTCCAAAGCTTTGACAAAAATCAGGTCTAAGACTAAACCAGTCAAAGGGGTGGAAGAAAGTGCGGTTATCGATCACGCAGGTTCTTTTCCCAAATCGGGCCACTTAAACGGCGAGGGTGCTAGGTCTTTCGGATCGTCATCGACCTCAAGCTTCGGCGAGGACAATGAGCACATCGGCTTTCATCCGCAATCATATAGAGAATACGAGTCAGGCGAGTCTTCTCGGTCATTGGGGTCGGGATCACAACATGGATACGATGCCGATGAGTCATATAGGTGGTTCTCGCAGTCGCCTGCAAGATCAAGCCTCAATGTGGAGAAAGGCCACTCCGAACCTTTTGGATCTCTCCGTCCACAATCAAAGGATGACCTACACTTTCCCATCGATGAGACTAATGTTTGGGATGCACACTTCAAAGGAGCTCGCTACGATCCTGCTCAAACCGCATCGACTACCTCAACTGACCGATCTGCTGCACATCCAAATCCCTCTGGTCTGGAAGGTATCAAGAATGAGATTGACCTTGATAAATCGGCTAAGGCCAGGGAGCTGGAGACTAAAACTCGCGAAACTACCCCGCATTCTCAAACGCACACCACAACCGATGATCAGATTCCTCATGTCAATCTCGATGACATCTTACATGGTGGTTCTGAGGGAAGCCAGGCGGATAAGGTGAAAGCCCAAGTGAACCCAACCTCTGATGTCATCCCGAAGGCTGATACTACACCTCTCAAAACCGAGTCTAAAGCCCCTGATGTCGACTCGAAAACTCATGTTCAAGATGGGATCAAGGTTGAGAAAAATCCTCCAAATGAGATTCCCAAAGTAGAGCTTAATACTCAACCTGCTCAGGAGCTTCATTCTCCGCCAGTAGAGATCGCTCAAGAAACTAAGGATCCTGCTCTCAATTCGAATGGCGCCTCTATCTCAGAAGTCAAGGGAACTGTAGATGATAAGAAATCGACTTCTCCGGTCGAGCTACCTAATGCTCTCAAGATAGAAAATCCACCAGCGGTAAAGACTCCAGAAGTGGTGAAGACTCCGGGATTGGTACCAGATTCACCGGCGGTAAATAACCCCTCAGTGGCAGACCCATCAGTGACAGAAGTGCTGAAGACCCAACCAGTAGTAGAAACCCCACCAGCAGCTAATATACCAACTGTAGAAGCCGTCAAGAACCCTCATGTTTTGAAAGAAGAAGTTACCAATGCAGACAAAGCACGATCAGAACTATCTAATGAAATTTCCAAAAAACCATCAAGCAATCCAAGAAGGGGTGATTAAAGACGCAAAAGTGAAGTCCCGATATTCCTCCAAAA